TTTTTTTTGGGGGGGGGGGGGGGAAGGGTGCATGTTTTATACAAGAAAATGTGGTATTTGTTCAATTTTGCCATCTGTTCAGTTCAAACATTTTTATTTAGTACTCTTTATCATGGAGGATGAAGCAGTTAGTTATTTTCTTTGAACTGTCTGTTCAACAGTAATTTTCCCTGTTGGCCTCTGAGGGGTGTAGCTTACTAGCTTTTGTGTTGAATCTTTTATGAGAGATGACAGTTTGGCTTAAACTTCCAGGGCTGCAGACTGCGTTATTTTTGCTGACTTGATAAAGCATCGCACATTTGAAAGCACATAATGATTGATATGTCTATGTGTTCTAGTCGAGATTTAACCAGTTGCCCTTTCTTTCAGTCTAGTTTAGATTTGGGATTGGGGAGCAGAAAATTTTAATTTAGACATCTTTTGTTTCTTTTTCCTCCTTGAGATCAAAATGGTGAATTTCTGAATTTTGGGAAGGGGTTTGGAGATTAGTACTAGTATTATAACCTGTGAATACAAGGAACAAACTGAGATGGGCACTCCATCTATATGAGCAGGGCTCCACTTGGCACTATGATAATTGTATATAAAAGATTTCTGCATGCCATCACTTATCTAGTGTAGTTGTAAAAGCTTAGTGGAAGTAGTGCAGACTTTAACTGACTAGACTTGTAGTACAGTACATAATTACAACATCTGAAGTCAGCTCTCTTTCTGTCTCTGCTCTTTGTTATGGGAAATTGTATGTAAATGTGAGTTCTGTCTTGGTTTCAAGTCTAGTGTTGACCATGGCATTGTTTTCTGTTTTCCACTCTATCTGTAAGCCAGCTTTGAAACCATATTAATGGACAATACTGTGAAAAAAACCAGGATGAAGATAATTCTAAGGATTCTAAGAAGCTAATTTTAAGAAATGTTTCTAAAGAGTTTATCTTGTATATAACATAATGAGCCAAATGCTAATGTCTCAGTAAGAAGCTAAATGGCCAGTGAGGTTTGAAGAAGGAGCTACTTTAAAGAAAACAGGCAGCCTCATAAAGAGCAGGAGGGCAGCATGGTAAAAATGGATGGTATAAAAAAGAAAAAAGCACAACTTTGTTTAAGTTGCCTTTCATTGATTGATTGTTTGCTGATAGCTGCTTGCTAAGAATTGAGCTGCAGCCTGTAGCTCACTTGCATCCATTATTATTACATGTGCAATTAAACTGATAACAAGAATGAAGCGCATGAACCAAACTGCCTTCCAGAAGAGGGGTTCTTTCTCTTGGGATTCACCTCACCAAGGTGCCATCAGCAAAGCATTTTGGGAAAGTTTACTGGTCTCCTGCACTGGAAGATCTGCTCTGGAGGTAACTGGTCACCTCTCTCCTGAGCTCTAAGCAGCATCTTGGGAAGCATTCAATTCACATGGACACAGTATGGCTCTGTTTAGAACAACAAGGAGGTGAACGTGGTACTCTTATTTAGCCTTGTTCCCTGGGTGCACCCACAGTTGGATCTGTTTATTGTAGTTACAAATGCTTGCTGCTTTTTATCCCTTGTGAGCTGTCTTGGCTCTGCAGTACTGCCAGAATGAGTTGGGTCCTTCTCCTCCTGGTAAATTGCTAACAGAATGAGTCGTTCTGATTTGTCCTGATCAAACACTTCTGTGCTTCCCGAATGAAGACAGCAAGTTGTATAGGTGCACCCAAGGACTTCATATGGTGTGCAAAACTGCCAGAAGAGAGGGTGTGCACCAGGAGGAAAGAACCCAGCTTGACTCTACAGTCAGGTTGAGATGGCCAGATTGACCTAGACCTCTGTTTAGCTGGATATAGAAACCAGAGCGAACGTCATGGCCTACCATGCCTTTTTCTCAGAGAAACTTTCTTTTTTGGAGGGATACGATTGCACTTTACGTAGAGGTGAGGTCGCCACCTCATAAACTAAACACTAACATTTACTTTGTCACACAAATTACTCTGTCAGTTCACATCCAGCCTTTCACTCAGCCTTTCTTCTTGAAGGCTAAATTAAACTGTCTTAATGCACACACACTAAAATACCTTGAGTTGTTGTTCCATCTTGGCCAGTTTGAATTTATCTTTCCTGTCGCATGTAAACATTGGTGTGGCACGGCTCTTGACATTACGGCGACTGGTCTGTTTGTCTTCAGGAGTCAGATCATCATTTTTCTGTGGACAATAAGGCCCCGACTAAACTAAACCATTAACAGAACTTTCTGACCTGAGGCCTGTGAAGCCTAAACACAGTCTCAGGTGAATTAATATGTCTACGTTGTACTTTCCTCACAGGCTTTGCTTCTTGTATGCTTTTAATCCGTATATCATAACTGTATTGTCTAACTGTCCATGATCTTGTCTTCTACATGCATGGCTTCATCATTGTCATATGCTACTCCATTCATCCAGGAGCAACTGAAGGTATGACAACCTCTTTATATATTCAGTAACTTTGATCATGTTGATGTTGTTAATGGCGTCTTTCATGTACATCTTAATTCCAAATGGCAAAGTATAGTTGTCTAGCAGTGAAAAAGTTTGAGGTGTTTTTGGTTGTGAAAATCGGGTGAGAAAAAGCTCTGGTGAAGCTCATTAGATGGCAGTTTAGAAACTTGGTTCTCTTGCGTGCTTTGTCTAACAGCATTATGACTTGCATGTGTAGCAGGGTTTCCTTTGAGGTGAATGTCTGACTGGATATGTGCTGCTGACTGGAAACCTTTTGTCCAGAAAGTTGTGTTACCGGGGTATCTTGGCAAATACACAGGTACTTTGTTCTTTCATGTTTGATGGCTCCCACAAAAAATGAGTAGAAGGCTCCCTTGTCATTTGATGTGGAACCATCGAAGTCTCTCCTGGGTAGCTTCACTTAAAAAGGAGAATGTGAACGCTGACTGATGACTATGTGCCTCGGGTTCATATACTATATAGAGGTTGCTATGAGCTGATAGCTCCAACATAAAACAAATCTAGTGACTTCTATCCAATTTCTAGTTAATATCACATATATGATGGACTTGTTTTTTGTAAGTGGTTTTAGGGATTAAGGTGCCAGGAGATGGGGCTACCCAAGGGAGGGAGGGAATGGAAGAGTTGAGCTTGAATCACATTCCTACTTGGCGGTTAGTAGAGGACTTCGTAGCGTTAGTCCAGCACCATCTAGAAGCAGCAGATATTAGAGGTTTGTTCTTAATCACTTCAATCTTTCCAAGAATGAGACTTGGAGAACCACTTGAAATAAATACTTTACTGACAGGCAAAAAAGTTTCCATCCCTGGATAGCGGGGAAAAAATTGGCATCATGTGCTTTTTTTTGCCTTTTGACTGGGCCTCTCTTCTCTGCAAATGACTTTGGTGTGCCTCTTTCTATTTTTGGGTCAGCGGAAGATGGGAAATGCATCGCTAAACCTTTCAGGAGTAGAGAGAGGCTGGTGAAGTACAAACCCTCATTTTCTAAAAATAACAAAATGGAGAAGTGTCTCTCATAAATATAGCATAAAAACACATGGCAGCCTGAAGTGGGGTATAGGTATATACACACACTAATAGGAAATAGAATATTTATCTCTTATATAATAAAAATCTCCAGTTACTTACCTCTGTTTTTAGTGCCGTTAGGATTGTCCAGTTAAATCTTTATTAGTCTGTTCCTCATTCTCAAGTTTAAAACCTGTCCCATTAACATTAAGTGCTGGGGACCAGATTCCTCCTTGGAGGGCAAGAGGAGTATGCAAGTGCATGCAGCTGTAACCCATTCTTCAGTGTACAGCATGTTTCTTTGTAGCAGCTGGTGCACAGTGGCTGTGAGTCTACTACAACCACTACCAGGGTAGTAACAAAAGTCCTTGCTGGCTCCCAGGGGTGGCTAGATGGACATACGGCTCCCGCGGAAGTCCGTGCAAGCTGGACAACACAGTTGTGAGGAGAAACACATGATCCTTTCAAAGCCTGCCTCTGCTAGTGGTCTAAAAAATCTTAGGTTCTCCAAGTCTCAAAACCTTTTCAAATCTTAGTAAATGTTTTTTTAAAAACTGACTTAATTTTCTCCCTGCTCCTGACCTCCACCCTGAGAGAGGTTTTTTTTTTCATTATTTATTTTATGGCATCCTACAATTTGCAATAAGAATAAAGCTTTAAATTAAACTCGCTCATGTCTTTGATTACTATTTCTCTTAGGCATGTAAGACTTTTAGTAGTAATAACACCAAAGCGTGGATTAAAATTTCCCCATTTTCTCTAATATCAGCATGCAGGAAAGAGCCTGTGGCTGGTTACAAGGGTCTCTGACTTTCAGTGCTCCTGACAACTTAGACTTCATGGAGACTGCCAGCTGTGCTAACTGTATATCTCGACATTAGAGGGATTCCTTTTTGCTCTCCGTCTTGATGTTTAGCTGGAAATGATTTCCCCAGAACTGAGGGAACATGAGAGTTGCACACATTTTTTTAGTTTATTTTTTTTGTGCTGCTGTCTTTTTTAAGTCCATTGCTTGTAGAACCATGAATGAACGCTTCTCCAGAAAACCCTTTTTTTTTTTTTTTTTTTTTTTT